CACACACACACACACACACACACACACACACACACACACACACACACACACAACACACAACACACGCACACGCGCACGCAAGTAGGCACAGACAGACAGACAGACAGACAGACAGTACAGTGTAAGTACCGAGTATCATAGCAGCTCTATCCTTTAGCCATCGATAGACGGGTGGAGGATCACCCTGAGCCGCACACTCCAACCTCACCACGCTGCCTGGCTCCTTCACCACGTTCCTCGTCCTCTCCTTAAACGTCGGCGGGACTGAGAAGAAGGAGAAAGAAGAATGGATTAGAGGGAAGCAGGAGAGGAAAGAATAAATAAAAACATGGAGAGAAAAGAATAAATTAGTGGGAAGCAAGAGAAGCAACGGAGGGGGAAGATTGGATTAGAGAGGAAGCAGGAGAGAAAACAATAGGTTAAACTGTAAGCAGGAGAGGGAAGAATAGATTGAAGAGAAGCAGGAAACGGAAGAATATATTAGAGAATCAGGAGAAGGAAGAATAGATTAGAGAGAAGAAGGAAAAAGAAGAATATATTAGAGAACCAGGAGAAGGAAGAATAGATTAGAGAGAAGAAGGAAAAGGAAGAATATATTAGAGAATCAGGAGAAGGAAGAATAGATTGGAGAGAAGCAGGAAGAAGAAAAATAGATTAAAGGAGAAGAAGAAAAGGGAAGAATATATTAGAGAATCAGGAGAAGAAAGAATAGATTAGAGAGAAGAAGAAAAGGGAAGAATATATTAGAGAATCAGGAGAAGGAAGAATAGATTGGAGAGAAGCAGGAGGAAGAAAAATAGATTAGGGAGAAGAAGGAAATGGAAGAATATATTAGAGAATCAGGAGAAGGAAGAATAGATTGGAGAGAAGCAGGAGAAAGAAAAATAGATTAGGGAGAAGAAGGAGAGGGAGGACGATAATAGAGAAAAGTAGGAAAGGGAAGAATCGATTAGAGAAAAGCAGGAGAGGGTAGAATAGATTAGATAGAATCATTATGACTTGTGAGCTACCTTGGTCTCATATTAAAGTTATCCTCAAGCTTCATGCTCGTTATCAACATGATAGAGTCTTGCTCTCTGTCGATAACTGACGTCGTGTTATATACTCTAATAAGTGAGATCGGAAAGTCTAGCTGTGCTATGTAGGTCCCAGAGAAAGAGAGTATAAAATGGCCGAGGCGCGCTTAGGAAAGTACATGATTAATGTAAACAATCGTGTGTTTTTAGTTTTTGCAAACATTGCAAAATATCCCAAACGACCGCAATCATATTTGTAAATGTTTATGTAAACAGAAATGCTACTGTGAATTGAAGTGCGATGTTAGTGAAGAGAATTGAATAGATCAAAAACCTAGAATATTCCTATCTTACCCATGTTATAAAATGGCTGTATATACCCTCTCTTATCTGATCTCAATATGGCAGCGGGGACTTTCCGATTTGGCTAATAGTCAGGGGTGTTAGGGATATTTTGGTTCACATTCTTCCAAAAGCATCAAATTTGGCCCAGATGTTGCCCATACCATACTTTTTCGATTTCTGGCGGGCGCCGGAATGGGCGCCCCCCGGGGCTGCCATATTGGCAAATTCAAATATGGCCGCCACCCGGGTTGGGGGGCAATCTAGTTAAACATCCAAAAGAGCTATAATCATAAATAATACCACTTTTTAGGGGTTTTCAAGGTCTGGGAATCTGATTCTGATCTTACTTCAGTAATATGAGGTTAAGGTCACCCCTCAAGGTCACGCTAAAGGTCATTTTGGGGTCAAATATGTCATTTTTTTAGGTTTTTTTGTCAATATATACAAACAGCACCTCATTTTATCGGTTTCCGGGGTTGAGTAACCCGAGTCTGACCTTATTTGAACGATTTGAGGCAATATGGCATGTCAGGGTCACGATAGAGGTCACCCGACCGAAAGGTGAATCGTACGTCAATTATAGGTAAAAACCAAAAGT